TTCAAGAACAGCTTCATCAGCATGCAAAGGTTCAGACAGTTGTCGGAAGTCTTTCCATTGACTCAGCCACTTTCCAAGTGCCTAAATAAATATAAAAGCCACCATATAAAAAACACAAGCACTAGTTGAGTAGCTCTGCATGTTAATAGGAGCGTTCTTCATTTCCAATCCTTCCAGCAGATCTTTCTGGGGTAAAGTCCCTATCTGGTAACACCTAAAGGTCCCAGTCAAAATTGGGCCCCTTTATACTGCAGAGAAACCACTTGTGTCCAAAAACACAAACATCTACATTACTCTGCTTTCTTACCAGAAATAAAAGCTTGCTAATTCAAAGGAGAGACTCACCCTGTCTCCAAAGACAGTTCTTGACTCTTACTTCTGTTCAGGTACTGTTCAAAACCTGTAAGAGAAAGATTGAATGACTTTTTCAATGTCTTCCCCCCACAAAATGATCGCAACTACAAGGCATGACAGTATGCAAGCATCACTCATTTCATCCCAGGATGGCCAGACTCCTAATATTGTATTTAGTTCCATAAGAATTTGCTCTTAAAAATGCATATAACAGATTACCTGACACACAACCCTACCCTGGAACAGGCCTAGGAGAGAACAGTACCTTCTAATTCAGCAGGCTCTGTATAAATTCTAAGCCAGATCTGCTAATCTGAACAATAAAAAGTATTTACTGCCAGCAGTCCTGCAGAACCAACACAGCTCAGAGGGAGTGAAATAGATACCCTTGAGGCTTACACAGTCACCTGTTAACCAAGTTCTAATTTCATGGCCATCTGTGCCACACCATTGTCAAAATCCCCCCTACTTCACCTGTACTATGCTGCTGAAGACAATAGAGTTGCCCGGGTATCACTGAGGGCAACATTTGGTCTTTAGAAAGTTTGTTTCAAGTGATGAGGCAGGAACAGAGCTTGATTCTCAGATTTTGGAGGAATCTGGTAGGGTTGGCTTGTTACTTGTAAATGGAGCAGGTTAGTTATAAAATGCACGAAGACAAAGAACGAGCAGATACAACATTCGATTTTATGCAGGGCCACTTCTTGAAACAGAATTACCATTTTCTGGAGGCAAGAAAAGCCTGCAAGACCTGAGGAAGAGCTGCATCCATTTCACCGACAGCATTTGTTCCACATGTTGTTTTTACATGTATAGCAAAATATCAGATTCCTCCTAAGAGGGCCACAGGACAGCAGAGAGAACTCCCAATTCTGTCCCAGAAAAATATCTTTTACCCCAAGAGTTAATTTTCAGACAGACCTCCAAAATGCACACAGGCAAAATCTGCGGGCTGGTCCATTTACAACTGATGATGCAAATCAGGTAGGATGATCTGACCATGCAAAGTGCCAACGACACACACAGAGCCCATAAGCAAGAATGCAGGCAAAAAGGGGGGTCCCTTTAAGAATCTAAATCTCCCTAGCTCCAGGGAAACTAGATTTGACAAAGCCATTCATCCACATTCCAAGTCAGAATTAAAACAGTTTAACATTCATGGTGCAGAGTAACTTAGAGCAGAGTTTGGCCCAAAATAGTGGTCTTATTCAGGAAGCAGCAAAGTAGAACACCACATGCTGTCTTTCTTCCATTGCAATACAGGCTGAGTAGGCAGTAACCCAGTGACAAGATGTGCAGTTACTGCAGGGTCCCCACAGTATCTACATGCCAGCATCCATGTGCAATGATTAGGTTGGTGTGCTATGTTTCTATTCCAGTAGGCTATGCAAGGCCTGGATCTTTTCCTCTCTACAAACTGCATACTAAGTAACAGGGATTAGCCCCACTCTCTCATCCATACATCACAATTACATGCCATCACCACCAGCAAATGGAGTGCAACCATTTCTGCAACACAAACATAGGTGACCTTCATGGTGCCAGATCTTCACAGTCCTTTGCATGTGTTAAGAGTCCCCCAGCCAGAAGGCAAAGATTACAATCATAATCAAATACCAAAGCCAAATAAAGAGCTGGGCTGAGGTACTCCTACTGTCACAGAGCTGCAAACCAGCAGGTCCTGTTTTGTCTAAGCCACACAAAGTAGGGCCTGTTTTCTTCCATGCGCTGGGAAAGAGCATGGGGTTTGCATGCAAGAAGCTCTAGAAATAAAAGGAACCGTAAAAGATCTCAGCCACTTTTATGCAACATTTCAGAGAAAGCCGCTAACCTTTAGGCAAGGACAAAGCAGGGAAAGCATTGGCCCCATAAGAATTTACTAGAGAAAGTTCTGAGCATGAAGGGAACACAAACAAGAACTCTAAACCTGGGGTTTGATTATCATCTTTCTTCAGTTCTTTGCTGTTGAAACTCCAGTGAAATCATGATCCCAGAGGAACTGCACTGCTGTGGATCTAAAGTCTGGGGATTGAGGGGTAGCCAAAGTAGACAAGGCTTGGGAGTTATTACTGCTGTGCCATCTAGTTGTGCTAGTCTAGAGCACAGGTGGGCAACAAGGTGTTAAACATACTTAAGTCCTACCTATATTACAGGCATCACCAATGCAGCTGCAACTTGAGAATTAAGCATCTAAAAAGGCTTGGTACAGATTCAGAGACACCCACTACCACAGGACCTACATGCCTTCAGAAGCCCAAGCACGTGAATGATTCCAGACTGTTTGCTCCCTACGAGTAACAACTCGCCAGGATTGCCATGCAGTTACTCCCTCTGCAACCATCCAGAGCCCACCTATCATTTTGTAAGTGCCAATGATGATTTATAAGAGCCAGTGATAATCTGTAAATTACTGCTTATAAAGTTGTGGGACTAACAACATTGACTTTATCCAGCATGCAAACCAAGCTGCCTCTGTGAGCACAACCTGCCAGCTGTGATCATGTCTAACAGATCAGGCCAAGAGCTCCAGTTCATTTGTGCTTAGCATCTGCATAGAATTTGAACTCAGGGCTCCCAAGGAAAGATCAACGTGCTAGTCCCCTGGGCTACCAGGCACTCCCTCTCACCTCACTATGATGTTTCTGAATAAGACCCTGACTGCTTCTCTGCTGCTGTGCATAGAGGATATCCACTGATATAAATGAGGTACCAAGTGGGCTGGCCTAGCAGCACTTGTGCCAGAATGTAGCAAGAGGTTCACTACCTCTCTGCTCCCCTGCTCCAGTACCAGGCTGGCACTTGTAGATCCCACTCTTCCTCATACCAGCCCACTCAACCTCTGGAAACCCTCCATGCAGCCCAGAAAGATGGCTCTGCTCTGCTCTCTCTCAGCACAAGTGCCTGGACTGAAGAAGACAAACATGCTAGAGTACCCCCTTCACCTCCAAGCAAAAACACCCCAGCACAACAGCTCATTCCCTCCTGTAAACCCCAGGGACCAGAGCACATGCTGAGCCCAGTCCTAAGGGGCCAACTTTCTTTGCTGCCTCCAACTGCCAGCAGCTAAGCTGACCTAATAAGCGTGTGTTTCAGTGTGCTGCCTTCCCTTGCTCTGCTCCCTTGTGCATGCAACAAGACACAAGCACACAGGACACCAGCACTCACAACCTGCAATATCAGCGGCTCACCAGTGGACAAGCAAAGCACACAGAGGGGTTTTTCATTCATCCTTCAAGGAGCAGGACAGAGCCTCGCCCTCAAGGAACAGAGCCCTCCTGCATGGGAAGCAGCCTCCCAAAACTCAGCCTCACCGAGGCACTGAGATTGTTCAGGCTTAGCACACCCAAAACAAAGGGCGTCACCGCACTTAGATACCACAGGCAGGGACACACACTGGGCGGACGGCGGCTTGGATGTGGCCAGGTCCAAGGGGCAGCACTGACTCTCTGGGACTGCACACACATTAAAGCAGGGGTGTGCAAAATGGCAGATCTGGCCAGTGGCCAGACTCTATTTCCCAGCAGCCCCTGCCTGCATTGCTGAGGCCAGTTTCCATGGAGACTGCAGCACTGGTGGCGCCATGACAGTGTAGGGCCAGGGTTTCCATGGAGACTGGCCCCAGCAGTGCTGGTAGGGCCCCTGTAAGTGGTCAGGGGCTGGAGCTGGGATCTTGCAGTGGTGAGAGCATGATCTGAAGGCAGGGCAGAGCCACGATCTGCTGCCTGCATGCCTCTACCTAGGGTATGCATGCAGCAGATCAAAGCTCTGCCCCCTTTCTGGACCACGCTGTCACTGCCACGAGATCCCAGGCCCAGAGCAGCTCCCCACCCAGCTGCACAACCCGCCAGCGCTGCTGGGGCTAGTCTCCATGGAAACCCTGGCCCTGCTGTCAGGTGCCACTCCCACTGGAGTCTCCATGGAAACTAACAGCAGCAAGGCAGGCATGGGTGGCTGGGAAATGGAGTTCACCTCAGGCCCAATCCAGCTGGCGGGCTGGACTTTGCCTGCCCCTGCATTAAGGCATGCCAGGCAGGGCATATGGCTTCTTTCCCCATGCAAAACAGGGTGCTCACAGCCCTGCCTAGGTTGCAATGTGGGTAACTCCATTCTGCCAACCAAAGCTCCTCCGTGCTTTCAATTAGACACAGAAATTGCTTTCCCTTCCTGTCTGTGCTGCTGGGGCTGGCTCCATTTCAGCAATCCCTGTGCATAAAGAGTTGGGGAAGCACGCTGAGATCCTCTGGAAGGAGTCGCTGTATCAATTAAGGTCATACTGAATTACCTGGCCTGGGAATTTAGCCATCTGGGGAGCAAGACCACCCCCCCCAACCCTTGCAGGCTCCCTGTCTGCTATCACTGCTGCCAAGCAACTTCCTGGAAGACCGCTGCTAGCAAGCAGAGGCAGTGTTGCTAGAGAGATTGGTTTAGCAGCAGCAGCCTCCTTCCCATTCAGCTCTTTCTCTGCACCATGCTGGGGCCTCAGCCGGAGACAAGGGCCTACAAACCTACAGAGCACTTCCCTCAGCAGAGGGCTACTTACCTCAGCACTCACATACAGCCACAGCACCTTAGTAAACAACCAGCCTGCTGCAGGCAGCCACTGAGGTTGAGAAAAAGCCCCTTCCTGACTGAGCAAAGCCAGCACATCATAGAGGGGATGATGCTTATTGGCTGGGCCAAGGCTAAGCAGGAGGGCAGCCCTGGGGCCAGCTCACCTGAGCACAAGCCATGTCTTGAGAGAGGTCCACAGCACTGCTGCCACACCACTGAGGCTGCACACATGTCACCTCCGGTATGCTGGGATGGAACAGCCCCCATCTGTGCTCATATGGGACAGCGCCAGGGCAAGGGAAGGTGCCACAGGCAGTGCTGGCACTCCAGTAGGCAGTTCTCAAGGCCGGGGGGAGCCAGTACCCTGGTAGGTGCTTGTGCGAGCTGTTGCTAGAGGCATCTTTGTCCAGATGAAAGGTGGAACTGCAGTCCAGACCTCCCCGTGGGCTCTCAGGAGGCTGTGGCAGCTGCCACCAAAGTAATGTTGTTAGCTAC